AACACTAAGGAGCGTGGTCTAGCACCAAGGAACTACACACTTACTATAATTAACCCGGCCATGACTACGGAGCTCGGTCCTCATTGGAAACAATCTGGCCATGCACTAAGGAGCTCGACACTCACTGGAAGAAACTTGACAGCTCTAAAGAGTGTGGTCTAGCACTAAGAAACTCGACACTCACATGAAGAAGCTCGACAACTGACAAGGAGCCCGACTTTTGTTTGTAGAAGCTTAGCTCAGTTGTGAAGGAGATCGGTCCATTGTTGCAAGGGCTTAACAGAGCTGATAACAACCCGAGAGAGAAGAGTTTAAGTCCTGAGATGTAGGAATTATTCCAAACCAACCTTTTCATTGTTCTAAGAGTTTCCACCAAAGGGAGATATATGCAATTTAATGTGGATGGTGAATGTATGTTTTACTGTAAAAAGAATGTAGAACGCAATAACTTTAGTAAAAAATAGAATTATGACATGATATATGTATAAATGTGCTAAATGTATCGTTTAATAAGGAATTAAATAACTTAGAGAATGCTCTTAGAATAAGAAATTAAAAGTAAAATGATATACATCAATCATTTTAAAATTATTCGAAATTATTTTTATTTGTAATTTTGATATACCTATTTTTACTACTAATATTTTTAAATCACTTTGAATGCATTTCTAATTTGATTATTTCAATATTTTAAACCATTTTTAATGAACTTCTAATTTAGTTATTTTAAAATATATTCATAACTTAAGTGTTGTAAATTATTATATTAAAGTTAAAAATAATATAAAAATTTTCTACCCGCAAATGTTTTCTATCAAAAGCTATGTAACTCTGATTCTCTATTGCACCTAGAGGTACGTAGAAACGGGGCATCATCCTTGTCAAGCTAAATAAATATAAATATAATGTTTCTCTTTTATAATAATAATAATTTTTTTACAAGTAAGAAATTTATATCAAATAAGCAATTAGGTATCACTGGATTTGTTTGAAAGGTGAAATAAATTTTCCTTAGTTCACTAATTTTCTTCATTAATCAAAGGCAACTATATTATTATGTACATCTTCTCTACACATAATCACTTAAGAATCCACTACATTTGAAAACTATTTTCCTTTTCTAGGATTTTCTTTTTTTCGATATTTTCCTCAAATAAATATTAGTAGTGTCTTCATTTACTTTTTTATTGTGACCCTAGTTACGACAATGTGATATTTTGTTTATCTTTTAATATATTTTTTACATATCTCATATTAATTATATGATATAAACATAACTCATTCATGATTAACAAAATTGATATACAACATGTTATACTTTACATTAACATGATTAAAAAGCCTACAAATACATGTTATCATAAAAAATACAATTATCTAATAATAATTTTTTATTTATGAATATTCATCCATACTCTCTTATATTCTCAAAATGGACTTTTTTTTCTTATAATCATTCGTATCTTTATCTTATTAGTCAATCCATCTCAATAACTATCTCAAAAACTATTAGATTAAATTTAAGAATAAATAGTTTAAATGTCTACTAGGTAAAATAAAAGCAAAGGATCAAGTAGGATAACACTTTTAAAAACTTGTATTATTATTATTTTTTTAATTTTAGTTTATTTTGAAAGAAAAAATCATCCGTACATCTTAGTTTACGCAATGTGAAAAGATTGATATGGAATGGAAAGGTACACTTTGAACACGCCGAGGGACACGTTTCTCACATTCTCACCCTTTTCTTAGCTTTCCGTGCAAATATTATTGATTTAAGTAATAATATTAATAATTAAACTAACCGCTGGTTTGAAATCTTCGTTAGTATAACAATACTCTTGCAATTAACTAACTTCCTAAAAATAAAGCATTTGAGTTACAGGAAGACCCAACGAAAAAGCATTAGAAAAGGGCATTCTTCATAATTATTGAAACGATATCGAGAAACCAAAGATTAAAAATAAATAAATAAATAAAGCACAGGAATCGCCCTGTAAACCTGTTTGATGGCTTCCTCTGCAATTGTAAACATTAATCACCTTTTCATCCTCGGTTAATTTGTGCCTATAGTATATATATGTTGAATTAGAAATAAAATTATGTTTACGGATTTTATCCTTACTCCTTTATTTATTTCAAACATGAATCCATAATCCATATTCAATTTGAAATTATTGCAAGTCATATATAATTTCATCTATAAATAAATAACTAAATAAATACAAAATTTATTTGCATACAATCCCACCACACCGGAGACATCTTAAGACTTGAATATAAACATACGAAACGTTGGAGATTAGTATATTATATATATATATATATATATATATATATATATATATATATATATATGAGGACATCTCAACCTCTTATGTCAAGATGTACTCCGTGCTAACAATATGAACTTGTACCATATAGCACGACCGCATGGTCAAGACAATCTCCGTAGAAGGACTAAAGTAAGTTGTCTGTTTTAGGGTGTAGGGGTTTCAGGCTGAATTTGTGGTTGGAGATGGTTAAGGAGCACTGTAGCATACTCAGTAGGACGGGTAGGACACTGATCGAGTATTGTAGTAGATCGAATAGGCAATTGAGGAGACTGGCTGAGCTGTTGGGAAGCTCGAATAGATTTTGTTCCGCTTGTTCAAAACATGTGGGAGGGTACTTGTAAAAGACACTCTGATGCTTAAGTCAGTAGTCAACTTGGTGGTCGGCCTGGTGGTCGGCCTGGTGGTCGACTTGGGAGACCGTGCGGTACACCAACCCCTAAGCCCAAGCATGATGTTGATCATGCGAAGGGCTTTTGCACGTGCCACTCTTGATAAGGACGGGTTCTCTAGTTGATTTTTGTCTTTGTGCCCTCTTTGTTTGTTGATTAGGGTGAGTGGTTGGAAGACTAAAACGGGTTGTGCCTTTGACGACTAAGCTAGATAGGCTATTAATCCTTCTTAAGCGACCTGTCGTGGAGATCCACAGTCATCAAATTTTGGTGAGGTCAACTAGGGCTCTATTGGTGAAGATCCACAGTCACCGACCTTCGGTGAATTGGGCAGGATTCCTTTGGCGAAGAACCGCAATCACCGACCTTCGGGAAGGCCGTCCTGAATTCCTTTGGTGAAAATCCACTATCACCGACCTTCAAGAAGGTCAGCCGAGATTTTTTAAGTCAAGAGCCACGGTCACCGACCTTCGAGAAGGACGGTCGAGATTCCTTTTGTGAAGAGCCACAATCACCAATCTTCGAGAAGGTCAGCCGATATTCCTTTCGTGAAAAGCCACGATCATCAACCTTCATGAAGACCGGTCGAGATTCCTTTGGTGAAAAACCACGGTCACCGATCTTCGAGAAGGCTGGCTGGGATTTCTTTAGTGAAGAGCCATAGTCACCGACCTTCGAAAAGGTCAGTCGGGATTCCTTTCATGAAGAGTCATGGTCACCGACCTTCGAAAAGGTCAGTCGGGATTCCTTTCATGAAGAGTCATGGTCACCGACCTTCGAGAAGGTCGACCGAGATTCCTTTGAGTCCAAGGTAAGGCCGAGAAGTTGAGGTCGAACACTTTAGGCCAAGTGTGGTCGAATACCTGTGAGGCCATGGGTGGCCGAGGAGTTGAGACCAAACATTTTAGGCCAAGTGTGGCCGAGTACCTGTGAGACCATGTATGGCCGAGCAATTGAGGCTGAATGCTTTAGGCCAAGTGTGGCCGAGTGGTTCGAGCAAGTTGATGTCGAACATAAATACTGAGGTCGAGCGGTTGGACAATTGAGGTCTTCCAAAGTATCACTCATTGGTTCCTTGTGACTATAATGGGATACTCGCTCGACCCCACAATGGGCGATAAAATGTTTCAGGTGTAGGATCTTTGGGCAAATTTGAGGTTGGAGATGATTGAGGAGCACTGTAGCAGACTGAGTAGGACGTGCAGGAGACTCATCGAGCATTATAGTAGACCGAATAGGTTATTGAAGAGACTGCCTGAGCTTTTGGGAAGCTTAACTAGATTTTGTTCCGCTCATCCAAACCATGTGGAAGGGTTCTGTAAAAGGCACTATGATGTTTAAGTTAGTAGATGATCGTTCAGATGGCTAAATATGCATATTGTTTGCATGTTGATCTAAAGTCATACCTGTAACCTTTATATAATAGTTGTAATGGGATTTTACCTTTCGTTGGCCTAATGACGGCATAATCACACCTTAATTTGCATTAGAGTTTTAATGAGTTATTATCGTTAATAAAGCTAACTATGTTGTCAGCATGGATGATCAGTCTAGTGGGTGGTCGGCCTATGTGATCGACCTAGGTGATCAGCCATTGGTCAACCTGAAAGACTGTACAATACATTGTCCAATCTAAAGCCATGATTAAAATATAATTAACACAACGATTAACCTAAAAAATAATCAAAGATAGTTAACTTTGTGAATTAGACTCATTCAAGTAAAAAATATCTATAAATCATAATATCAATAATACACTGGATGAAACATATTATTACACTAATTAATTACCATATTTATTAACGTCTAACGGATTTGACTAAGTGAGAGTGTCTTTTGCACTCATTCGGTTAAAAGCCGACCAACACAGGAAGTTGGAGTTTAGAGTGATTAGAATGTTTGAAATTAGAATCATATATATCCAAAATTATTTTACATTGAATTCAATGAGTTTCACTCTTAATATATATAAATATATTTGAATTAAAGAAAAATATAAAAAAAATAATTTAAATTAACTATTTTATACGTAAACTAATTATAATATTTCTAATAATTTTTTCAATTTCTTTTATGGATGGTTGTATTTTGTGCAGGTTGTGCACGAAGTTGTGGAGACAATTGTAAGATAGTTTTTATGATGACATGGAGAAAACTGGTAAAGAACATGAAAGTGACTTGGAATTTAAATTCCTTTTGTTTCTTTTAACTTAATAGAAGGCTATTAGTATAGTTTATGCTTTTATTTCACTTCAATTTTGGAGGTAGGAGTGGCCTTTTCAAAAAAGGTGAAAAACGAGGAAAAAGTCCTCTAATTTAAGTGTGGCTTGTCCCCTTCTAGCGCAAATAAACCCTCTTCTCTCCTTTTCTCTCTCTGCGAGACTCCACTCAAAGCCATAACTTCTCTCACTTTTTTCCTCAAACTCCTATACTTTCTCACTCACTAATTTTCTTCACTTCTCTCGTCACGTCGTCATCCCCTTCTCCCTCCTAACCTAAACCTTAAAAATTAATCTTCAAAAAAAGACACAACACAAACAAAAATAACTCCTTTTTCTTACATTCGTGACAATGGAATCACCCAACTCATCCGCCATTTTCCCACAATTCACCCTAGACACCACCAAAAACAATAACCCTGACCACTTCATTGTCGAGGACCTTTTGGATTTCTCCAACGACGATGCTGTAAACGCCGACACCATATTCGATTCGCTCCCTGTCAACTCCACCGACTCTTCCAACGTCACCGCCGTTGATAGCTGCAACTCCTCCTCCTTCTCCGGCTACGACCCCAATACCATTCCGGACATTGGTAGCCGGAGTCTCTCCGATGGTCATTTTTCCGGTGACCTATGCGTACCGGTATAGCACATTATATTGGTTATATAAAGTTGTAACATTATAATAATAATAATTACTGTACTATTATTAATATTATTATTATTATTATTATTATTATTATTATTATTTATTATTTATTATTATTATTTATTACATTAGTTATTACTCCATCTCAAAATCAATGACCTCGCAACCTCATTACATGACCCAAGGGTAACGCACAAAGCCTGCATTCCAATTTGACCATCTTTATCTCCCTTAAAATCGCTAACTTGTGTAAATACATACATCACTATCAGTTTATCCTTCTTAGGCCAGTAATTTCAGGATCAGCTTAACAGAATTACCCTCATTTCACGGTCCAATAAACTACTTTTCTTACAATCGTTGCTCCAATTTACTACATTTGTTCTAAACAATAAAAATTATTATTTATCTATGACGAACATAATGAACCCTACAATTAACTGTTGCACATGCTAAACGTGCAAGAGTTTAATGTCTCGTGTACGTAATAATAAATTTTCAAATTATATTATTACGCAATATGTATAATTTTTGCTATTTCATTTAAATTTGAAAGCAGTATGATGATATAGCAGAGCTAGAATGGCTTTCGAATTTCGTGGAGGAGTCGTTTTCCAGCGAGGACCTGCAGAAGATGCAGCTGATATCAGGCATGAATGCGAGAAACGACCACGTACCAAAGGCCCGCGGGTTCCACTCCGAGCCCACAAGAAATGGGTTTCATTCAGAGCCCACCCGAAACAACCCGATATTCAATTCGGAAGTGTCGGTCCCAGCCAAGGCCCGTAGCAAAAGGTCCCGCGGGCCTCCATGCAACTGGGCATCGCGCCTCCTCGTCCTGTCCCCAACGACGTCGTCTTCAGACACTGAGGTCGTTGCTCCTGTTTCCACTCATTCCGGCACAAAAAAGCCCGCGAAGGCAACACCGAGAAAGAAGGACAGCGGCGATGGCAGTGGTGGAGACGGACGCAGGTGTCTGCATTGCGCCACGGACAAGACACCACAGTGGCGAACCGGGCCCATGGGTCCAAAGACGCTGTGTAACGCGTGTGGAGTGAGGTACAAGTCGGGGCGGCTGGTGCCCGAGTACAGACCCGCGGCAAGCCCAACGTTTGTTCTGACAAAACACTCGAACTCGCACCGCAAGGTTCTGGAGCTGCGAAGGCAGAAGGAGATGGTGCGGGCCCAACAGCACCAGCAACAACAGTTCCTACAACACCATCATCATCAGAACATGCTGTTAGACGTATCCAACAGTGAAGATTACTTGGTCCACCAACACGTGGGACCCGATTACAGGCAGCTTATCTAGTACGTGCCAGAGTAGGACAACTGCGGTGGAGCATCCGGTAATTTATTTTGTAGCAGAGTTATTACATGTTCATTAGGACATTCTAATTTGTTATTGTTTCTTTCTTTTTCATCCTAATTCGTTCGGGAATGGCTTTTCCTCACTCATAATTTTTGAGTTTATGTAGACTGCACTCATCATCACTCTAATATTTCTTCAACCCGTTTCTCTTTCGGCCATATTTTCTTACACTCCATCCAAAAGGTTAATTTCTCTACCTAATTTTTATTTTCTGATTCATATTTGTTCCTACCAACTTCTCCATAAAACTTTTTAACGATAAAATACAATAAATTATTTCATAAATAAAAAGTTGCGTATAAGTTATACAATATTTTTCATTTGGTTTATCCAAATTTTATTTTTAATTTATACATGAACTGATTTTAACAAATTAATTTTATTTTTATAACTTTTTTGAAGTTCTTGTATAAAACAAAGTTTTTGCGGCTACAAGTAATTGTTTTATAAATTTACGAATACAATAATAAGTTTTCGAATGATACATAACAATTTAACAGAAATTTAAGTAAATGCAAACGTAAATTATTGGTTTAATTTTAATAAAAATTGTTTTTTAACTTAAGATGTTATAAATTATAGTTGATATGATAAATAATGCGTTACATTTAACTTTAGCATGTAGAAGTATAAGACTTTGAATTACATAATAAAAACATATTATTAATTTTTACGGTAACTCCTCACTAAAAAATAACATATTTTACCAAGACTTTTTTTCAGGCAGTTTTATAAACCTTTGATAATTTTGACAGTTTTATAAAAAAACTCCAAGTATATTTTTTATTAGTTTTTTTTTTATTTTTCTTTACTTTTTGTCGGTTCGAAGCTAAACCGCAATTAAAATATAATTATTTTTTATTTTTTAAGACATTTTTAGCGGTTAGTTTATGTAACCGCCGGTAAGTGTTAATATTTCCCAATCCACCGGTAAGTGCACTTGAATTCGCGTCTCCTCTGTTACTACTTCTCTCTTGTTTTTCTTCTATTTTCTTTTTGATTTTGTAAATCCTAAGTTCAAGGTGAGCAGCCTGCATTCAATGCTCCAAAGAGAAACGGAATAAGAGTATTAAAGAGGAGAAGATGAAATCAGAGGAGGGTGAGCATGATTTTAGGATTTCGGGATCGACATGGGGGCTTTAAATGAAACCTGAAAAAGGGGAGACGTAAGGAAGGGTAGAGCCACCGAATCAAGCATATTGAGAAACTTAAGAGTGAAATAGAGGGCTGAGAGAGTGACGGAGTTCGGTGGGAGTACACATTTCTTGTGAAGAGGAATCAAAATCCAGGTATGGGGAGCTAAACCAAAATATTGGCTTGTTTAATATCTGAATTGTTGCGTTAACCGTTGGTTTGTTTAATATGGTAATATCTGAAATATTGTGTGTTTTGGTGATGTTATTGGGTTGTAGTGATAGCTTGCAATAATCTGAAAGTGGAAGTATATAGGACATGCTCTGTTTTAGGAATGATATGCGTAATTATATGTTAAAAAGAATTGTTTGTATGAGTTGATGATATGCTTGAATGTATGTTAAAAAGCAATGTGTGTAGGGGAGCTAATCTATGTCTGGATTGTGTGAATACTTGGAATGTTTAATCTGTAAAATGATTCTTGTATGACAATGTTGTTGCTTGGCTTATATTGTTGCCTTGCCATATAAAAATTGTTGCTAAGATGTAGCTAGATGATGTTGGAAAATAAAATTCAACAATAGATAGAAAGAGAATACTAAATAATTAAATTTTTAATATAACACCGGCTTGTAAGGTGAGGTTTGCATAGTAGAAATTGGGTGGTCCGATAACGGCCCGATAGCGGGTGGAATAGAAGAATAGAATGCCCACTTAGAACTCGCTAGGATAGGCACTAACCATGGCTCTGATACCATATTAGAAAGTGGGTTTTTAAGCCTAACTCAACCCCACAAAACCGGCTTGTAAGGTGAGGTTTGCACCTCACTTATATATTATAAATTGGCCTTATCTCTAGTCGATGTGGGACTTCCAACAGGTCCTACTAAAATATGATTCTCTCACGCCTTATTTCACATCTAACAAAATGGTAAGGAGTAGATTTTAACAGAGCATAGTTTGTAATATATTTGCATTATTTTAAGGTGGTTTGATCATGTTGCGTCTTAGTCTCCTCTGTCCGGTTAAGGTTTACTGTTAAATTCTGTCGTTGCCTTGTTCCTCCTCATTTCTATCTATTGTTGAATTTTTTAAGTCGGCTTATTGGCTTAATGAAATAAGTTCATATATGCATTGTTGATCTGAGTTCATGAAGGAAGGGAGAACTTGGTTGTCAATACATTCCATGTTTCACGTTTACTCTAAGCTTATAGTATGTTATGTGTGGTAAGGTGAGTCTCACGGTTTATGTCATAAAGGGTAGAGTAAACAATTGTTTTCTTGCCTAAATTGGTTACTAAATTATGCATAGGCTGGAACTATGGTCTTCTTTTTTTAAAACGTGTACCATGACTCCTCAATATTGGTTACTAAATTTGATGGTTGCATACATTCATTTTTTTTTTTTAGATTTATTGCCTTGGTTTCACGGTAATAGCTTATGGGAAATGTTCTTTTTCTCTGATTTCAATTTCAATTTGTATATTTGTTCTTTGGTCTTGCCAGTTAGAATTAGTGTTATTGTTTTCTTTTAATTTTCTTGCAAGATTTATATCTCTTGTTCCAATTTCATTGCTTAAAAAACATCTAAATAAGTCTTTTCTTGTTCCTTTAACTTCCACTTAGCTATGCTTTCCAACTTGTTTGATATTGGGCTTAGGAGTAGTTCTTGATTTACATTTTCAATACATTGGCATGATTCACTTATGTGAATAATTGTTTCCTTTTTGGGAATTACATGACCCCAAAGTGACCATATTATCTACTAACTATTATTTTATATTTAAGGTATATGATCAAGAAAGCGTGTCAAATGATGAAGAAAATGAAGACCAACAAGAATCATAATTGTTACTCAGAGCAATTTTTGATTTGTTACGTAGAAGAACAAGTTTATTTTTAATTTTTAGGACAGAACATATGTTATTTCTTAAGTTGACAAATTAATTGTATTTTTAATTTCATAGTTTATTTTATATAATAATAATTACTTTTGGTTTCATATTATTTTAGTTTAATATTAAACACATTCCATATTAATAACATTAACCAAATCATTTGGACAATAAAAAAATTAAATTATTTTCATAAGGCGATTTTCAAAACCCAACTATATAAACCGAAAAATATCGGAATGTTTTTACTAACCCGTATAAGTACTGACATTTTTTGTGAAAATATCCACAAATGACCGCGGTTATATAAATTTCCGGGGTGGGCAAATAGAACTGAACTGCACTGTACTACTAAAATTTGTACTGAACTGAACTGTTTTTTGTTTTATCAAACTGGAGAGAACTGAATTATACTAAATTGTACTAAACTACAATATAAACTGAACTACTACCTATACTAATTTTAAACTAAAATGTACTATTTTTAAACTGAATTATACTAGTTTATAAATTGAATAATATAACAATACATGTTCTTTTTAATTGAAATTTATTTTAATATTTATTTTATTTTATTCATAAGTGTCTTACAAATTAACATTTTAATTATTTGATATTATTATTTTCTATTTTATTTATATTTCTTTTATTATTATATGTGTATGGAAATTATTTTATTATTTATTTATTTATTTTATTTTATTTTTTATTTTTTATTTATTTATTTTATTTTATTTTTTATTTTTTATTTATATTTATTTTGTCATGAATATTATTTTACTTTTATATTTCTTTTTTTAATTTTTTATTTATATTTTTTTTGTTTTATATGTGTGTATAATTTATTTTATCTTTTTATCTACTTATTTTATTTTAAAATAATTTTTTATTTATATTTATTTTGTTGCCTCATAAAATTGTTTTATTAATCAATTATTTATTATTTATATTTTATTATGTAAAAATTAAACTAATATTTATTAATTATTATAATATAATAAAAGATTATACTAGAAAAGTTACTCTTAACAAACGTTTTTTAATTTTTTTGTCATTTGATATTTCTATAAAATTAATTATTTTTGCTATATTACTATTTTTTTTTATGATATTTCATTATATAGTCATTTAATAAATTTAACGTTAAAAAATATATTTTAGTTTTAGTCTGTAAAATAATATCATTTAAAAATAATAATATTGATATTTATTTTAAAGTAAGTTAATTTTTAAAATAAATAGTTATTTTAGTGTGTGCGCTTACACACATTTTAATATCATTAAAAGTTTTCTTAACATATTTTTACATATTTAATAATATGTTAAAGAATATAATATATTTAAAGTATTATTTTTTTTATACAGTCTTTTTTTCTTTTATGATTTCTATTACTTAATCATTTAATAAAATTAAATTTAAAAAAATATATTTTACTTTTATTACTTAAAATAATATTATTTAAAAAGTAATATATGTTTATTGATAAAAAAATATGAAAATTTGTGATAAAAAAATTGTCTTAAATAAGTCATTATTAATTTTTTATGTGAACGGTTTCTTTTATTAATATTTTATTATTAAATAACTTTTCTTGGCAAGACGAAACAGTTGAACCGGAACTAGAGTAGATACAATTCTCACAGTTAACTGAACTGAAACTGTTATAAAACTATAAAATAGTATACTGAACTTTTAGTAAAAATGGATCAGTTTTGTTTAAGTATAATAATATAGTACAATTAACTATAGTGCAATACATATCAGTTATTTTTGCCTAGCCCTATCCGTAAGTTGCGACGATTTATGAAAAACTACCATAAATAGCGATAGTTACGAACAAAACCACCGTAATTTTTTGTGACGGTGATTTTCCCGACAATTTTGTTAACCGTGGAAAATTTATTTACAAAGGATTAAAAAAACCCTACTAAAATCTGTTATTTTTATATTGCCTGTTGTACATTACTTTTAATCCCCGTTAAACGGCAAAACTTTTTATACCTTTTAATATATATATATATATATATATATATATATATATATATATATTACCTATAAC